CAAGCCCAAAACTCCAACTATAAATAGAGGCATAGCCTAACCAATATTTCTCCTCTTCTCCTCTGCTACTTTCTTCTTACCTCAAAATTTATTTATTTATTTTAATTTGGCCACAACCGCTTCTCTTCTCTAATTGCTTTTCCTCCTAGAAGTCATCATACACAGAGACCAGATAATCCTAATCCTTAGAGAGTTATATGTTATATGTAATTTGGTAGATGTAATCCTAATCTCTAGAGTCATATGGTAGCTTGATATAAAATTTGTTATGACGTAATCCTAATCCCTAGGTGTTCTCAGGTTAGTTTTTTTGTGAACATATATATATATATATATATATATATATATATATATATATATATATATATATACATATATATATAGGTAAAAATTTTTAACTTAAATCACTACATGTGATAATTATGCCTCTGATATATTTATACATGTGAACAGATATTATTCGTTCTTCTCAAAGTGGTATCTGGCAGGATATCTGGATACTAGTAGTAACTTTGGGAAGATGTGTGCACACTAGGAATATATGTTTTTGATAATGGCCAAATTGTTGATATGTGACTAGCAGGATATCCGGGTTACAAGGTAGACTGGCAGGATCTTCGGGTCTACCATGGTTCTCTTCCCACTAAATGAATTTAATAAAGATAATAATTGATTTAATTATATATATATATATATATATATATGATGAATATTGAAATTGATGTTTGATTCAATTGTTATGTAATTACAATTTTTATTTGATTATTATATTTGAGTTATATAATTGTGTTTTGATTAGGATTATTAGCTTTGTTGACTTTTGTGTTTGTTTGACTGCAATGATCCTACGGGGGAGCAGAATTTCAGTGAAACAGGTTCCAAAGGATCGGGCTAGCAGTGAGATCTGAGGATAACGACTCAGATATTTCTAGTTAGTCATAAATATTATGTATTAAAATGTAGTCTTAGATTTTATTTGAATGTAATAGAGTTAGCCTTGCACCTGTCCCTGTACAGGTGCAGTGGTAACATTTCTCCAAATTAGTTTTAGATTAGCTTCCGCAATAGATATAAGATCTTAATAAATAATTAAATATTATTTTTATTTTTATTTTTGAAAATTTCTCTATTATGGAATATTTTATTGTTGTTAAAATTGTTAGAAATTTGGGGGTGTTACACGTTGGATGCGTGTTGGTGTCCGACACATATTTTTTGAAAAAATCATGTGTCGGTGCTTCCTTAATAGTCACACCTTTTGTATAAGCTTTAACATTCATTGGAGTAAAGGCTTGTAATTATCGTGGATGTAATTTTATAAAGTTTGGATATTATATTTTGTAATCTAAATGTTCAAAGGATGTGTTTGTAACGTGTATTACACTTCATATTAAAGTTCAAGTATTAAGATGTATTTTGATGATTAAATGATGGCTTAAAGCCTTATTTGATGAATCCATGTATGGGTTTTATGAAATAAATTTTTGTATAGATAGGTTATACATTTGATATGGTTATTAGGTGCAAGATTAGAGTTACACACTTGGGAAGTGGTTTAGAACTCCATTTAGGAAGTTTAAAGCATGGATTGTTGCATATTCCCCTATTTCGAGGCGCTTTTGGTGCCAGAGTTGGTGCTCCCAGCACCAAGAAATAGTAGCTAATGGTCCCACGATGCTTCTAGCACCAAATTGGTACTTCCACCTCCAGGTTGGCGCCTCCAGTGCCAACATACAGTATGCTCAGCATCGCGCAGTAAAATGCGTATATCTTGAGCTAGAGAACTCCGAATCGAGTGAGGTTTGGACCTGTGTAAAACTAACTTAAAGAACTACAACTCTACAAAATATTAAGACCATTGGATAAGTGAATTAATCTCAGTTCTAATTTGAAGTTTCTGCCCTATTTTTGGAAGTCCGATTTAAAGCATTTGGCTTGCGACGGACGTAACTTGAGATGTATAAATCCAACTGAAGCATATTATGGGTCTTTGAAAATCTTGAGATGTCTAATTTAACATAATAAAATATTAGAATTAATGGTAAAGTGATGTAGTATCAGTTTTACAAATGGTAAAGACAGTTTAGAGTCGAGCATGACAATAGAGTTTGTTTCTTTTGATTATTTTTAAATGGAAGGACTTAAGAACTCTATTGTGATATTAATTGAAATTTCAAGGATATTGGATCCATAGGGAGTTGATAACCTCTCCCACTATGATTTAAAGTCTCAACATGATTACCCATATTTAATTCTGGCTTAGTAAAGCTCTAAGATTTGAAGTTGTGAAGTAATTAGGTGAACATATGAATCACTTGAAGTGTGAAAGGATCTAGTAGACTTAGATGCCATGTTTAAATAAAAGGAAAAGTTAATCCATATTTCTAGATATAAGGAATTGTTTAAGTTAGGAGGATGGATAACAAAGTAAGGTAATTTCTTTGTTGTTTTCTTAATTATTCTTGCTACGCTTAATACCATACTTAAGTTAACGGACCGGATGCATATAAAATGTTACACTAAATAACATGCGTTTAAAATGCAAGGACACTAAGCCTAAATATTAAATCGAATGAGCTTCTGAGCGTGAAAATAAATAGAACGAATTTTAAATGCAAGGCCTGTGAAATTAAACATTAAATGCAACTAGCCTCGACTAATTTTGAAAATAAATGATATGAATATAAAATGTGAGGCTCCGAACCTGAAAATTAAATAATGATGAGTCATTAACCTTGAAAATGATTAGCATAAATTTAGAATACATGTCCCTGGCCCTAAAGATTAAATATTGATGAACCTCCGAGTTTAAATATAAAGTTGGAGATAAGTTATCTTATGTTATGAGATAAATAAAGTGAGGTCCATCAATGTTTTTTTTATAAAAAAGAAGAAGAGAGATACATCTTTTTATATGAGTATAATATGAAAGATGAATCTCATGCAACATGAGAATATAATTTTTCATGTAAATAAAAAAAACAAGGCCTTTGAACCTAACAATTAAATAATAATAAGAGTAAATATCCTTTTTGGTCCCTAACAAAAAATATGATCCCTATTTTAGTCCTTTACAAAAAAATTAGTCTCGAAGTCCCTAACAAATTCAAAGTGGACCCATTTAGTTGAAATCTTGGTCTCACACAAATTCAAAAAAGAATCATATTAGTCCCTCAAAAGGATTAAAATGGATTCACTTTGAATTTCAAGGGAACCAACTGACTAATTTTTTTTTTGTAAAGGACTAAAGTAGGGATCGTATTTTTTTGTTAGGGACTCAAAATGATATTTACTTTAATAATAAATCTATGAGCTCGAAAATAACTACCAAGAATTTAATATGCATGACCAGTGAGCCTGAAAATTAATTCCTCTTACACGACTTCAAGTTTATAACATGAAAACTTCAATTTGAATAAAATAAATTTTAGTCAAAAATAATTTAAATACGTTTAAAAGTAATTTTGACAAAATATATATTATTTGAATATTTTGATGAAAAGCAATTTTGAATATGCAATTAAGAAAATATTTGAGTTATAATTTTTATTGCAAATGCAAAAGGTGGGTTTAACCATGTTTCTCAGGATGTGCATAATTATTTTTATTATTTATTTTATTTTTTAAGAATTTTTTTTCTATTTTAATCTCCAAAATAAAGAAGTTAAAAAATATACTCTCTGTAATTTTTTGTTCCTGAACTAATGAATGATTCATTCTATGAAACATGGAAATAAAATAGTATATCACACATAATTTATAATAGTTTTTTCTCATATAATTTATGTAATTTTGGTTACTATAATTTATTTATTTAATGGTTTCTTTAAATTATCGGAATTATACGAGAGTCACATATCTGCAATAAAAAATTATACGATGAACACGTATTGCGTACATGATCAACGAAGGATCATCTGTAAAAACACTAGTAGAAGTAGAAACACTACTACTTCATGCATGAGTGTGGATCTTCTCATGTAAAAAAGTGATCATGTTATTTGATCACAATCACTCATTTAAAAGTTATATATTTTTCTCTCTCTTATCTCATTATCAATGAGTAGTTGTGATCAAATAACATGACCACCACATGACTATTTTTTCACGTGAGAGAATCCATTAGTATAGATAAATGGATAAGCTTCTGACTTTTTGTGATGAGTATTTGCTGATGGACGGACTGGATCGCATGTTGAGCTTGGGAAGGGACGGTGGTGATCAAGAGAAATAGAAAACACAAATCCTGGTGATGCTTCTTGATTGGCCAAAAATCCATTTTTTTCTTCTCTCTGTATGTCTAAAATCCGACAACCACAACCACAAAAGTCCATTTTTTTCTTTCTTTCTTCTCAGGCGCTATTTCATTCACTGACACTGTTCGTTCCTATGGAATGCTGAATCTGAAGCATAAAATACCCTTTTTTTGTTTCTTCTTATGATGGTGACTGCCAGACACAATGAGCTCGCCAAGGCAACATTACTACACAATGATCATAACATAAATCCCTTCTTCTCGTCGATTCCCATCTCCTCTTCAGTCTTCATGAATCATGACCGCTGCTCGGTGGAGTCGTTTTCCCACGGGAGATCGTAGCCGTTGATTGAGAGCAGCTCCAATATCACGTGCGCAAGTTGTAGCTGGTTGTTGTCAAGCTCTTCAACGAAATCGAAGCCGTTGAAATCGTGAACTTAATCAATGGTCGAGTTTGATTGCAACGGTCCCAAACACATGTGCAGCATAAATTTGAAATTTGAATTACAAGGTCCCAACGGCACATTCTTTTGGGCGCCAAAAGTCGTTTGGCCCCTTTTATTGCCGCCTTAAGCATCCACGGTAATCTCTCTCTCGTTTCTTTTGTTAAACTCTCTCTCGCTAATTTTTCTTCTCTTAAACTCTCTCTAATTTCTTCTTCTCTTAAACTCTCTCTCTCTCTCAATTTTCTTCTCTTCTCTTCTGTTAAACTCACTCACTCACTCACTCTCTGTCGCTCAACAACATGTCTTCCTCTCTCATCTGTAGGAAGAGAAAACGATGCCCCAAGGTTTTCAGGTTTCACTCCTTCGCTGACCATGGTTGCCCCATCGCACCTTCTGGTCCCTTCCGCGACAACGTTCGCTTATTTCTTCAAGAAGCGGCACAACCCCAAGATTACACTGTCTCTGGCAACCCCCTATGGTGCACCCTTCTCATTCTCAACCGCGACAACACTAACCTAACGGCTCCTCTCTACACCATCGAAGAGGACGTTTCCCGTTCTTCCAATCCCTTCTGCGATCATTGCCGCTGTGTAGGTACGTTTACAATTTCCAATCTTTTCCTCTTGGGCTTGGTTTGGTTGATGATTCTTGATCTGGGTCGGTTCGATTTTGCAAGAATTTTGATTTGTTTGTTTGTTTGTTTTTTTTTTTCTGAATTGGGCATGCGTCTTTAATTTGTTCGAGTCTTGAATAGGGTTCCTTTTTTCTCGTGCTTTCTTTGACGTCTGTTGTGGTTGTTGTCATCGTGATCAGTATCTCTGAATAGGGTCTTTCTTTTGATAATGAAGTGGATGGTGTGATTAGGTTGTAATTATGAAATAGTGTGATCAATATCTCTGAAATAGGGTCTTTCTCTGATCTGAATAGGTCTCTCTCTGGTTGGTCGCCAATTATGAAATAGTTATGAATTGCTTAAATTGTGTCAACCGTCTAGAATGTGAAATCCATAGTATGAATGCTTAGTTAATATCAGTTGGGTACTGTGCTTAAGAAATTATATATGTTTCGTGATCTGAATGCGTGGATTCTGTTATAGTCTATTTACTACTTGAAAACTCTTTTACCTTGTGAATTGGGTCGAGTTACTTTCTGTTCTGAGTATTTGATTTTCTTGCGAATTTTATGTTATATTGAAATTGGACTTAGTGTGTGGTACATAGTGGGAACAGTAGCAAACCGAACCTGAGGTAGAAACTAAGATTTTGGTTAATTGCAGTAATTAAAATTAAATAGTATACTAGCGGAAAAGAGAAGTAGATGTAAAGGAGTACGAATAGAAAATTGCTGCAATAGTGTGGAGAAGTTGTGTAAATAATTATACTTTATTTAATGAATGTACAAAAGGAATTCACGTGACTCAGTTGTTTTACTCCTCATGAAATACTACGGAATCAAATTGAGATTAAAATTTGGTAAAAAGGAAAACTACAATAGATACATATTATCACAATGGGAATGTAAGAAAATTTATAAGTATTATGTTGAGTTGGTTACTATGGATATAGCTGTATTCCCTTGTTCATTCTAAGTAGAAATTTAAATACACCTTGAAGTTGGAATGTGATTGTTGTGAAATTTGAAATGTTGGAAGTCTAGTCTATTTAATGGATTATGATTGATGACTGTTTCGAATGGTATTGTGTTAATGATGGGAAAGATCAGGTCATGGTAATGGATCCTCTGACCAGTGGAGTCAATTACATCCGAGGTACCTAGGACAGCGGAAAGCTCGAGGAAGTTTCCTCATATGGGTGTATTGGCGAACTGTATGAGAGGTACCATCGCACGTGATATGTACGAAGAGCATGCTAGAATTAATTAATTGCTTGCATGACTGCTTGGTATTCTAAATTTATTTAGTACGTTGTAAAAGAATAGATTTGGTTACTTTTGGACTTTAGAAAAATATTAGACAAGTGGCTACAAAATAAACTAACAAACTTAGCATTTCTGGTAACCACGACAAATAGAATTGAGCATTTTAGAATCTAAGTATTCTTACTCGTGTCCTTAATTCAGCTTCATAGTTCAAATTCAATTAGAAGTGTCTCCCAAACCATAAGCTCTAGACCAAAAGCAATACTCATTAATGTAATTCTCTTCCGCAAGATAGTAACAAATAATGTGCTGTTAACTTAATGGATGCCATTAAATTTTTATATCTCAGGAGTGATGAACTTCTGTAATTTTATGAACACTCTTCTACATTATAAATTAGCATGTTGGGCGTTCTATTTTAATTGCTTGTTTTCCTGTAGATTATTAAATTAGAAAATTCCACTTCTAATACCTGTCCAGTCTGGTAGATGGTTGTGAGGTGTATCAGATTGAATTCTAATATGTATAAAGAGTCACTAGGGAAAGGATAACAGTATAAGTTGTAACCTGTAAACTTTAAAGATAAAATAAGTGAAATTGAAGGTTCTAGTTAATTAGTTTTGGTCTGTATATGTGATAGGCAGGTATATCCGATTGTTTTAAAATCTGTCTAACTTTGTATTGTAAAATTTTGTTGTGTGAACAATTATGAAAGAACCTTGGGAATTAAATTGACCCTCAACCTATCCAGCATAAAATTTCAGGGCATCTTTTTGAAATTCATCAGGTGATAAAAAGGGGAAATGATACCAGGCATGGCTGAGTTTTAATTTTTCTGTTTTGTAGTTAGTGTAAATAAACTGGGTATCTTTGAACTCTGCTATTGTATTGAGCATTATCATACTTGGGATCATACTCTTTGTTGAGATATATAGTCCCACATTGGTTGTATGTGCAACTAATGTGGAGTTTATAAGGCTTTGGGCACTCCCACCCTTTGAGCTAGCTTTTGGGGTGGTGACCTTAAGATTCTCAACAGTGGTATCAGAGCCGGATTGGGCTCGAGCTAGCCTAGTGATTGGCTAGGAGGCGGGTCGAGTACTTTGCGCTTCGGGTACTCGGTTGAGGGGGAGCATACCAATGGTGGGTTTCACACTTGAGGGGGAGATTGTTGAGATATTCAAGTGTGATGAGTCCCCCCACATTGGTTGGTAATGAGCTAAGTGAAGAGTATATAAGTGAAAGGACCCATGAACCCAATGCCTTAAGGTTTTGGGTTGAGACATGGTGTCGTTTCCACTTGCTACGGTTGGTGTAGCCTTAGCTCATTGGTGGTGGTTCCCTGCCACGGGCTTCCCCTGGACCCGCTTGACATTGGAGTTTGAGGGAACGAATTTCCCAACAGTGGCGCCCCCCACTTTCTCTTGTGGCGTTTCTTAGCACAGGTAGGCTGGGCCTGTTGCATTGTCCACTCTTCAAGCCCAATGGGTTCTCGTGTGAGGGGGCGTGTTGAGATATATAGTCCCACATTGGTTGTATGTGCAACTAATGTGGAGTTTATAAGGCTTTGGGCACTCCCACCCTTTGAGCTAGCTTTTGGGGTGGTGACCTTAAGGTTCTTAACACTCTTCATGGTGCGAGAAACAAAAAGGAAAATTTTAGAACAGCTTACATTTATTCGAGTTATTAAAAGATAACGTTGTTCTAGTTGTTCTATTAGTTTTATAAACGAGAAGTGTGTAGTTATAGAATTGAGAAGTATGGCATTGACAAATGTAAAAAGAGCTCCTCAACTTATTTTATGTGTATGCTAATTTTGGTTTAGCTGCTTCAAGTTTCTTTGGTTTGAATTATGAGCCAAATTTTCGTTCATCTAGACATGATTTGCAATAGGAGTGTGTTGTTATTGAATAAATGTCCTGTTTAGAGATTCTTGAAGTGATTAGTCGAATTGCTACCCTTATGATGCATGTGGTCGAACTTGTTGAAATATTTTGTGGAAAGATCATAGTTGCATGATTTATGTCACATGAATGAAAGAAATGTGATATGATTTATACTTGCAATTACTGAATTAGGTCTAGTTAATTAAAATTTCTCTCGTTCCAAATGTAAAATGAATTTTATGTCATATGAGAAATAATATATAAAGAATATGTGATTTTAGAATAAATTATGTTTTGGGAATGTTGGAAGTGATAGGTGTGTGGAATATTGCATATTGGTAACTTTGAAATGTTAAGTAAAAGGGGTCATGCCTGAGTCTAGGGGACATGTTCAGGTTTTTTTAATGTGTGTGAAGTTAGGGTGGTCATTGATTAAATTGTGCAGTGCATGTTGTTTGTGACAGCAACTATTCGGGAATCGAGTAATGATTTGAAGAAACGAAATGAGTTAAGTCGATTGAACTTTTTAGGTGATTGTTCAGAGATACTGAATTGTCTTGCGAGATGGAATAGGGTGTTACGATATACGTTTAATTAGGTTTCAGGTTGGTAGGACGAAGTTTGGGGACAAACTTCAAATTTGGTGGAGAGAGTGTAACAACCCTCATTTTTATTTTATTCTATTTATTAGAATCTGATTGAAGTATAGCAATTAGGAGGCAAATGGAGACCTTGTCTTTGTAATGGGCTGCGGCCCAAATGCTGTTTTATTATGTACCCTATTCAGCCACTTTGAGTTAAGGAGATGGCTTTAAAAAGGGTTCAAGTGAGGTTGGCCCAGCCCAACATTTCCTTGTATAATTAAGATAGGATAAAGATAATGATACAGTGGGACTAAAGGCCTGTAACAAACCGTATAATTTGGAAGTAAACTAAAAGATAGTGATGGATATTAATGTGTGATGGGAGACGAAATGCAAGTGCAAGAATGGTAGAATTAAGCTAATTATTATGTATCAAGACCTAGACCCTACTTAGTGGGACATGAAATAAGAATTAATAGAAAATTAAGTGAGCCCAATTCTTCCTGTGGACTCTTGGGTTGCGCCCACATCATCAATTAGGGGCATAAGATCAGCCCATTTTCCTTCATCATGGGTTCACTAACCACATCGCAAGATATCTTAAATTGTCCTTAAGAATATGGTTACTTGTCCATGCTAAAAATCTGCCCTTGCATGCGATATCATTGGCCAGAAAAGTAATCATACAACCTACCCTAAGTTCAGAATTTGCATGTGAGAGTATTGGCCAACAAAGTGACATAATTGGTAATATGAATGAAGTTCTGACTAGTAGTACCATTGATTTAGGTGAGCATAATTATTAAAGTGTTGGACTAATTTGGCTGGACTATATTTTGTATCAAACCTTGTATGAATTAAGCTTAGTTGGACATCATGTTTTAGGTCCTCCTTAGCGCACCCCTGGTCTTTTGGAGTTAAATTTGTGAGTAAAATGTCATGAACTTGTTTTCATATTGAAACCCGAATTGGTGTGCTTGGGAGATGTTGGATTTCTTTCACTAAAAATTATTTGAAGACAGAAATTTGTTAGTAAAAGAACCATGATAATCGAATGAGAATAAAGGGGTCTAGAGGAATGAAAACTTGATGCAACGCATAGGAATAATGTGAGATAATATTCTGATTTGTGATGCATTTGTTTAGGTCCGCGAACTTCTAAGAAAGTGGACTGAATTGGTGATACGTTGTTTAAAAAGTTGTAAACGTCACAGGTATGTGTTAGGCGGTATTACCTTATGTGACTATTAGCTAGTGTATGAGATTGTGATGTGTTGTTCACATATGTTCAATATTATTTTATGATGATGATATGGCAATGGTAAGAATATGAAATGATGACAATGATATGTGCATGCATTTTTACATCATGATGCATTTTTCTGTTTGGTGTGTGACCGCATTTCATGGCATGTATACATTAGATCCATGTAGGCTTTGAAATGTAGAATAGTTATATACAGGATCATGTGGATGAGCACGCATCATATAGGCATCCCTCGGTACCAGGGTATGGGACACTTGGCATCCGTCCGCATAGGTCACAGTGGGATTCAATAAATGAGGGTGCCGTTGCATGGAATTCCCACTGTGTATGCACGCGCCCGATGGTGCTATGAGCGTGATGAAGGCATTATATACGCAATATGATATATGATGAAAAGGGTATATGATGAAAAGGTTATATGATGAAAAGGATTTCATGTTTGAAGCGACTGTTTATAATTTTGTGCCTAGTTTAATACTGTTGCATTATTGGTTTTGTTGCCACACTACTGAGATTTTTCTCACCCCTTTGGAGCTGTTATTTTTATAAAATGGCAGGAGGACGTAAAAGCTTTTGAGGACTTGGATATTTGCTGTTGGTTTCTACTATTGGGCATGCTGCTGTGATTGTATTATTTTCATGGATGACTGTACTAATTGTGGATGTTTAAATTATTAGTGAACTATGTTTGCATTTTGTTTTAAGACTTTTAAGAACAGCAAGTGTTTTGAAACGGATTTTCAGAACCGTTTTTACGAAAACTGATTCATGGCGTTTTGAAAGCTAAGTTAAAACCGTTTGTGCGAGCATTTTGTAGGTTGGCGTCCCGGGGCTACGGACCTTTGATTTTCTTATAATTTATATGCACGCGTAGCCCCAGGTGTCTAGTTTCATTATATATAAACCTTTCAACGAAATTCTGAAAGCTCGATTTATTATGATTTTCGCAAGTCAGGTCGTTTGATATACATTCACTGAATTTTAACTCTCGCCTTACGAGTTATGTTTCGAGGGGCAAATGACCTTCAAATTACTATTATTTTATATGAACGCGAAGCCCCGGATGTCTAGTTTCTAGATTACAAAGAATATTTTTTAAATCGTTGAAGTGAATTTTATACGAATTTTTAAAGACAGCAAGGTCTGCCAAGAAAGTTATATTTTCAGTAGTTGAGAAATTTTGAAAGTATACTCTGATATTGGTGACGAACCCGATTTCAATTATAAGTTTTTAATTGGCATTGTAAAAGTGATTTTCAGTCTCTAAAATATGATTAAAGAACTCTAATCAGCTTAGCAAACAACTCTCTTGGATTCATACAAGGGAGGGTGTTACAAGGTCTCTCTCTGGTTGGTCGCCAATTTTGGATTTTTTTTATTTTTATTTTTAGATTTAGCTAGTGATTCGTGAATTTAGTTTTGTTTTGCAAGAATATTGATTTATTCTGAAAAAGGTTCGTTGGAATTTTGATGATTTCTACCACTTCTGGTTTTTGTAATTATGATTTAGTTCTCTCTTTTATTTAGAAACTGAAAGGGGTTGCTATTGATACTGATAGTGTGATAACAATACGTGGATTTGTTTGTTTTGTGATTGGTAGGTTGGAGCGGCCATTATGTATCAAAGAGACGATACCATTTCATAATCCCGATGGACAATGGGTGGCATAAACCCTTAAGTGAAGGTGCTCTGGATAATCAGAGTCATCTCTTGCATGGGGTTATTCACTGCAATGGATACGGCCATTTGCTTCGTCTCAATGGCGTAGAAGGGGGTTCTAGAGTTCTCGGTGGGAGAGAGATCATGGATCTCTGGGACAGGATCTGCATCAATCTTGGAGCAAGGTAAGTGTTGTAATATAGTAACAAAATATTTAACTCATTTATTAGTTTTATTTCTGGAATTCAATATTTATTTGGCTATTTTCTTCGTATGGCAGGAAAATTACAGTGGAAGATGCCTCAAGGAAGAGGTCTATGGATCTTCGGTTACTTCATGGAGTTGCTTATGGGCACTCTTGGTATGGTCGGTGGGGCTATAGATTTTGCCGTGGAAGCTTCGGTGTAACTGAGCAAAATTACTATGAAGCAATTGAGGCTCTTGGTACTTTGGAGCTTGAAAAGATTGTAAAAGATTTCAGCGAGACAAAGTGCCACAAAAAAATCAAACAAATGATTCGCTGCTATAGAGATATGAGTGAAGCTCAGATTATCACAATCAGAGATCTTCTCAGGTTTATGCTTACTGTCAGGTCTCGTGCTCCTGTTTCTAAGATAGCAGAAATTTCTGCTGCTGCTCCTCCCATGAAGGAAAAATCTGCTAGGTATAAGAAGTTCAGCTGTGCAGTGACTTCTATGGATGGCAGGTGGCCAACAAGGAGACTAGAGTTTGCAGCTCAAGTGATTGTTGATGTACTTAAAGAGCACAAGGCTGCCCAATCAGGTTCTTGTGGGATGACAAGGCAAGATGTGAGAGATGCATCTCGGCTCCACATTGGTGATACGGGCTTACTGGATTATGTGCTGAAATCACTTAACAATGTGATTGTTGGAAATTTTGTTGTTCTTCGCAAGGTGAACCCATCAACTCGGATCCTGGAATATACTATTGATGAGCTTGGCAAGGGGTTCAAAGCCCCTGAACTGGAGTCTGGGGTAATGGCTGTTGTAGATCCCCAAGTAGAATCATCTTGGGTTCCTGGTAATGATGTCTACAATGATGTGTCTTATCTGTACAAAAATGTACTATTAGGCTACCTTGATTCAGAACCAGTGGACTTGGCAGCTCGGACAATTCTTGACAGCAGGCACTTCGTGAAGGAGTGGGCTTTTAGGGATGAAATGGAGCAGGTATTGACATCCATCTGCCACTTGAAGCTAAATTTTGTGGACACTGAGTCTGAGTTGAAAGGGCTACCTTGTGGCGAGATTGTTATGGTTCCACTGCAAGCAACGGTTGGAGACTTGAAGCAAGCTGCTGAGGCTGCTCCGAGGGATACTTATTGCATTGCAGAAAGACTTATAGTGACAGAAATTGCAGAATTGATGGATGCAAGTGATGAGGAGGTCCTTTTGGGACTAATCCAGTCTGGTGTGGAACTTTCTGTGAAGGGTATTGCCATAGATTTGTGTACTCCATTGAAGTACCAGGGAGCGTCTGACAATTCGAAGGTGAGGTGTGCATGTGGTGCTCGTGACGATGATGGTGAAAGAATGGTGGCTTGTGACATCTGTGAAGTGTGGAAGCATACACACTGCTGTGGAATCGATGACTCAGAGACAGTGCCACCATTTTTTGCATGCCCTGGCTGTTGGGATTCACTTATACCCCCAAGGATGGAATCCGGCTTCAGTCTGAATTGTGCTGATGATTTTCTGATTCCAAGGGTCTATAGTCTCTAGTTTTTCTCATTGGTGGAGAAATTCTTGTGTTTCGGAATGCAAGCTGCTATAAAGGTACAAATATTTTGTGGTTATTGATTTTAGTAAAAATGTTTAGAAAATTATTAAATATAATGCAGTAATCAATGTTTGTGAGTGACACATAATGTCAAGAGACATGTTACTATATTACATTACATGATGCATGCCTTTCTTGAACTCAACGTTCCTCTTTTTTTATTTTTGGGATTTTTTTTTTTTTTTTATGGTGCTATCTTTTTTTAAATTAAAATTGATAGCTTGTGTTTTGCATTGGATTTTGGCCGGTTATTACTTTTTCATTTAACACATGTACAGCTTTAATTATTTAATTCGTTATGTTTATTCGCATACATACAGAGGATAGAACTCAAGCATACATGCAAATGAAGCAAGCCTATATAAAGTTTCTTTAATTACCTAATGAGTCTTGCAGTTGTGTAAGCTTGGAGTTCCTGCACCATGAAGAACAATAGAAATTTCAATTATAATTAGAAAAGTCCAAAACATAAAATTTCTTTCAACTTCGAAATCTATTGACATAAATCTGTTATCCAGTAAAAAAAATTTATAATTAAAAATCCAATATAAATTAAAATTTCTTTTAACTAAGAAATCTGTTAAGTTTGGTTTGGAACGAAATCACCTGTTTATAGACATCAGGCAAATCGAATGTTCCTGTAGTTCAGGCAAATTAAACGTTCCTCTAGATTTTATTTAGGTTATCTTTGTTCTTCTGATTTCATAATTCACTTCAATTTAGTGTTTTTATTGCCAGATAGGTGGCACCAATCAGCAAGTGTGATTTTAGTTTTGCAATCTGTCATTCGGAAATCTGTGGAAGTTATGAATTTCTTAGGGGTTTTTGTTTCCATGTGGACATGATTCTCATTCCATTTATCTGTAAATATCATGGGAATGGAGTGATGGTACCATCATTTGCATATTCCAAATCTTAAAAAGGAATGAAGTTACATATTCCACCTCATTCCAATATCACTTACATTTTGGAACAGTCATTCGGGATTTATTTTCTTATCGCTGAAGCTACATTGATTAAATTCTGCAATATTTTGTTTTCGATCCATCATCTTGTTTATTTATTTTATTTATTTATTCCTTCTGCAACAGGTGAATAATTATAGCATGGTGAGTTTTATACCTCTGGACTTGAGGAAGGACAAAAGGTACAGCCTCTATCTTTTTCCTGCTTGTCCTTGCTGCCTTTTCTTTTTTTGAAGGATCTTACCTTGTTTGCATATAAGGGATATGATTTTGCTCCGGTGACCGTATCATAGATTGGCGTTGAGTAAATGTCATTGATGATGCTGAAATATTAAAATTGAAGGGTATACTCTGGTAGAAATTATTTTTATTGAAGAAAGAAAAAACTGTGGCGTGAACTAAGATGAACTCAAATTGTGGATCTTGTGGCTTGTGTTTCCAGTGCTGCTGATAGATTTGTTTGTCTTCACGATCATTCTATCAAAATATTTTGGTACATCAATTATGCTGTGCTCGTGAATTAAAATGCCAAATTTGCTGTTGTGAGTTTGAATTCAAACTTAAATAATTGTTCAAGAACCTGGATTTCATTGTATTTTGGCTATTCTGTAGAACATGTTACTCACCCTGAACTCCGTAATATGCTCTACACTTTTGATTATTTCCAAACTTTTACTACTAGATAAACAGGTTTTGGGTATATTGGATGATTGGGGGATTTTTAACTATATGTTTAAACTTGAATACAGCTTGTGTGTATGCTTGCTTCCTTATATCGAGGATGGAATGACTTGAAAGCACTGATTCTTGATTTATTTTCACTAGCCTATAAAGTGGGTTTATGTTCATTAATTTCGAAACTCATGACTTTTAGGAAGTTTATTTTAATTTTATCAGTGAAGTCCAGCTCATAAATATTCAGTGTGATCTTTTGGTAAACTACAGGAATGACCTCCTCTTCTAGTTATCTTCCATGCTTGTTTCATGTTAGTTCTGTATTCATGTTCTACTAACCTTTCCAAAGGGTAGTGCAAGTCATTGAACTTTACATTTCACATCCTTTGCTTCATTAGTTCAGCCCTACCCCAAAAATGAAGCCATTTTTATTTTATACTTACTATTGTGTTGTTCTCATTTACAGTATACAATATGTATTGGGGCCCAAATTGACAACTGCTTCCAGTATGGGCAAGATGCTGATGTGAAGATTAAAGGATTTTGACCCGGACGATGACGAGTAGCTTATTCCCTTTTGCAGCACTGTTTGGTGTGTTTGAAAGTTCAGTCTTCCCATCCACAAAATTGTCTATCAAGCTTACATTGTTAATATCTCATTAGATTGTTTCAATATGAATCGGAGACTTTGATGATTTGTACAATTTAGCTTCCAAATGGGGAGAAAAATTGGGACGGATGCTTGGTCAATATCTTATCACTACTTGCCTGGTTAGGACATGAAAAATGTTTTTAGACCCTTGAACCTTGGTTACTAATTCTGATAGCATTCCAAAAATTTGAACTTATATTAAAAAGTTTGATGAAGGCAAGAACACACGAGGTTTTTCTTTTATCTCTCTCTGGTGGTTTGTTGAATTGTGTTTTGAAAATCTTGTTTTCTCTTGCAAATCCGAATTCTAGTTCAACTCATTCTCTGAGATTAAGATTTGGAGTTGAGTATGTTTGACGCCACCACAAACAGTGGTTAAGTAGATTCACTTAAGAATCAGTCAATGATAACATTTTTTTTTAATATAAGAAACTATTTGAAGTAAAAGCCACAGTTCACACGCCTTTTAAAAGAAAAGGTTCTTGAAAGAATTTCATGAATGTCAACTTTGAAAAGCCTTTTGAAGCTTCTCAACACTTTGATTTTAACAGACTAAATAGAAATGTACAAGTAATAAAATGATAAGTAAAGATAGTTTCCACGAGGATTTGTATTCAAACACCAACTAACCATTTATAATTAAGTTGAATCAAACAAGAATTCATTGAATGCATTGATAATTGTCACCAGAACTTGAATTATATTTGAAATCGGTAAAATAATTAAAATATGAATTACAATTTTAAAACAAGTAGTAAGGAAATCAATATCCCTCAACCATAAACTTATGTAAGAATCGATCCAATCATGAATTATCTCCAATGTGATGTCAATCAATCTTCTTATTATCACTAAGATGTAATTCCTTACATCTTAGTTGATACATTAATCAAGAAATCCCAATCCCTTGGTGATTCCCTTCTCAATACATACATTAATCACTGAGATTTTAAAGATGCATCAGAATCGTATTTCCATTCCTGAATAATAGAACACTGATGATGAAATTGCCAGTTACAGAAGTAATGTAAACATTCCTGTTCTACATTACTTCCTTAATGGAAAGAATTAACAAAGACACTTTCATTCCATCACATAAAAGATAATCATAATATTCAATCAACCATACAAAAATTCATCCTTGAGTTTCATTGAAATCCAACTACAAGGGACTCTACTCAGACATAGAAACAAAAATAACAAGAGAAGAGGAAAGATCAAACTCCATTGTTATGTTGTTGAATCTTCAATCTTCAATCACAATTACATAAAGTATACTAAAACTAATACAAGACTAAGACCTCAGAGAATGAGAAATCAGTTACTAAGTGTGAAGGCCCCTTGCCCTTTTATAGTGTACAAGTTCAAAACTGAAATAACATCCAGAAACTGACATAGGCGTTAAAACGCTGGATCGAGCGCTAAAACGTGCTTCTTTGTAATTGTTGTCACGAACGTTGAAACGCTAAAACGCTCCTTGTTGGACGTTTTAGCGCTCAACTTGAAGGATGTCTACCCGCTTTTAACTGTCCTCAGCGCTAAAACATTTCATTATGACCGTTAAAGCGCACACTTTCAGGGAATTTTGGCATTTTGTTGAACATCAACGCGCTAAAACGCTTGAATTGACCGTTTTAGCGCTCGAGACCCGCATCTTTTTGAACTTTCCTTTGCAGCAACACGCTAAAACGTTTGCTTTGGCCGTTTTAGCGCTCAGCACCATCACTTTTGGGCTTCCTTTTGCAGCAGCGCGCTAAAATATTTGCTTTGGCCGTTTTAGCGCTCAACACTTGAATCCTCCAAATTCTTCAGAATCTTTTTCCTTCTTTCTTTTGCTTCTTGAAATTCATTTTCCTATAAGAACAATGTAAATTTTCAACACAAACTTCAAAACTTGTATTTAAGACTTTTTCAGGACATTAACCCTCTTTTCCATCCATTTAATCACACAAATTAAGCTAATTCATGCTTTAAAACCTTATAAACCAAGGGTTTATCAACCGCAAATTTTAATTGAATTGGATCGATTTTTGGATTGGTTGATAAAAACCGATCCAATCCAAACCGATCCAATATATTAATTCACCTCCACCTACTTGGGCTTTTCCCCAATCATAGCCCAAAAACTTCTAAACCCAAGACCCATTAACCCATCAACTAAACTCAAGAAAAAACATAGTCACGTCTCATCAATAAAATTTCATCTATGTAGAGGAGCTTCATATCTCATTGTCCAAAAAAAAATTATATTATCGTTTACTGATGCTTTTGTATTTCAAAAAAAAAAAAATTTACAAAGTCAATATATACAAAAGATATTATTTGCAAAATAATCATGAAACAAATATTAGGATTTTCAAAAAATCAAAAATCGATCCAATCCAAATCGAAAAAAATTGGATTGGATCGGGTTGGATTTAAAAAAAAAATTCAAACCGAATTGATGATTACATGATCAAACCGAAGGGATTGGATCAGATAATTTTTGCTTCTAAAAATGATCCAATCCAGTTCGCGAACACCCCTACTGAAAAATTAAAAACAATGAATAATGTAAGGCTTGGATTTTAGCCACCAAAGTGGCTCTAAATGTAGGTACCTGCGTCAGTTTTGAAGGATTAAACTTTAATAATCTTTTTTTTTTTCCAAGGTATCTTTCGAGGCGGGAGATCACATTAAGTGGGTAAACCTCTCCCAACAAAGCCTTCTCCATACACACGGCCAGGAATCGAACCCCTGTCAGCATGCTTAAGGAACCCAGCTATCTACCAACTGTGTTGGGCTTTGTTGGTAACTTTACTAATCTTTTATTAACCAAAAAATAAATAAAATAAAGTGCATTTATTTGATAATGAATTTTTTTTTATTTTGTTTCTTTTAACTATATATCTTGAATTCGAGAATAGAGAAAATGAAATTTGCCCTCGAAGGGGGTCTAATAATGCTCAAATAGTATTAATGGATTTGGATAAAAAATAAAATAAAAATTAGAGTAAACACCCTTTTTAGTCCCTGTCAATATCTACGAAGTCCTTTTTAGTCCCTGACAATAAAAAAGGATCAAATTGGTCTCTGAAATTACAAAAAAAGGGCCATGTTAGTCCTTATGTCAACTCCCAAATATGTAGAGTGACCTTTTTCTTGTACTTTCAGGAACCAGTTTGGTCATTTTTTATTGCCAGAGACTGAAAAGGACTTCGTAGATATTACCAGCGACTAAAAAAAAAGGTGTTTTCTCTCAAAATTATAGTGCTAGACTGGCATGAGTTTCCAATTTGGCGGGTGTGGTTTCCCAATAAACAGGGAAGACAAAAACCAACAAAATGTACTTAAACCCCGAAATAAATGTCGAGTCGAGAGAAACCATATAATCCACGTGACTTACACAAGTAACATTTTGTACGAGAGCGTGGAAGCAGTGAAAAAGTGACTTTGCAACAACAACAACAACAAGAACAAACACCTTCCCATGCATTTTATAAGAACAGTTCTCCTTCATGCGGGAAGCATTTCTCTGTAGAGAATCAAAACTCAGCGACAATACATATACATATATATATTGTGTGGTGAGTTTTTTTGTTTAGTTGGGTGTGTGTGTGAAGGTGAAAATGTACAAGACGAAGCTGCAGGAGTTGTGCCACCAGAGACGGTGGGGTTTGCCCAAGTACTCCGCCATGAAAGACGGTCCAGAACACATGCCAAGCTTTGAGGCCTGTGTCTCCGTCAATGGCGTCACCTTCAGTTCTCCCCGTGCCTTCAGTTCCTCGAAAGAAGCTCACAACCAAGCCGCCATGCTTGCTTTTCTCAGCTTATCTTCTCCTCCACTGGGTACCCCAACTCTTTCTCTTTCTGGGTTCTGTTTGTTTCCTTGGAAAGTTGATTATTATGGTCTTGAGGTTGGGAATTCTGGTTTTGAGAAATGGGTTCTCTGTTTTATTGGAAAGTTGTTTGAGTTCCGATTGGGACAACTTGTGTTCTCTGTTTGATTTTTTTTTTTTTTTTTTTTTCAGATTTTTGGTTGTGAGTGATCATTTTATTCAATAATCATGAAAAAAAGGTTTTGAGAAATTAGAAATTGTTTGATCATGATATGTTGCATTGGTGTTGAAGAGTCTTATGTTTTTAAATGGGTGATAATTTCTTGTCCTTGGTTTAGCACTGCTAATGACATTTTCTTGTTAATCTTCAATGATTTCATAACAGACAAACTGGAGTTCCGGTATGAAATTTAGCATCGTATTCTATATTTTATAATAACATTATTGAAGTCAATTCTGTCTGAAGGTTTAGTTATGATGCGGAAAAAATATGCTGGTAGGAACTAGTTATGCAAAATCTACTTCATGGGAGTTTTTGCCCTATATTTGTACATTTGTTCTCCAATATTTGTGTTTTGTGATCTGTCTAGACTCTTCAACACCAACAGCTGAATATGATACAAAAGAGCAAATTGGAGCAGCAAAACCACAGCACTTTCCAATTCCAGCACATTCTTCAGTTGTTATAGATGGTAAAGAATTTCTTTTCAGACTTAGTTTATAAACTAGCTATATCTTCTACCTTGTCCACAAAATTTAGAAAATTTCAGTTTTGTTTTCTGTACCAGGTGCTAATGTTCTAATAAAGAAAAGAATGACACTTTTTAATTCCATTGCTAATGGACAAGATATTTTATACAACCTCTCTATACACCTGATTGCTTTCTCTTGTTAGTAGCTTACATTCAGTAAAACTGTCTTGAATCACCCTAGGCATATATACCCCAGATCATTTTAGAAATTGTAGTTTTATATATTTTTCCCTCTTGTACTTGATAAAGTTTAATCTCATCTTTCCAAGTCAAATACTATCTCTTGCAGTTGTTTCTGGAACTTGTTCTCTCAACATATAGATCAAAAGTATGCAATGCATTTTTGTCTCTCTGTGTATTTATACTGCAATTAGCTTATGTTTCCCCAAATTTCGGGCTACTATTTTGACGGTTATTATCTCTTTCTCAATGAAGAAACACATTCCCCAATTTTCAGAGCCATAACTATTACGGCAGTTTCTGCATATATATACACAGTAACTACTAATGAACTTAAATAACACATTGTATTCTGGTGGAATCTTTTAGAAAAAGTTGTTAAGTTTCTTTCACTTTATACATTAATGTATTTGAAAATTTTATATAGTGTTTTATGATTTCTTCAAGTGAGCGTTTCCTTTCCCATTTCAACACCTACATAATAACAACAATCAACTCATTCCTCCAGATATGGATCGTCTGTGCAAAAGCCAGCTGCATAACTATGCTCGAAGGAACAATCATGATTCACCTATTTTTACATGTAAAACTGAGGGCCCGTCTCATGCCACTCGCTTTAAGGCTAAGGTTGTAGTTGATGGACAATCTTTCGAAAGTGCTGCGTTTTTCAACACTATAAAAGAGGCAGAGCATGCTGCTGCAAAAGCTGCTTTGATGTCATTGTCACTTGATATCTTTCAGAAGGCAAGTGTCCTTTGTAATTTCTGATGTGGTTTCTAATTAACATTTTTGGATGCTTTATGATCATCAAATTGATAACTTGGTGTTGAATGTCAGAGAAAAAATTTCTGAGCCACTAAAAGGTTCAAGTACCAAAAAGGAATTCCTTTTGATTTCAACTAAGTATTTCTTAAAAATTTTAAACTTTTAGCACAACAAGAAACTCCGGTTACACACAAAAAATGTAGCTAAAGTGATTTTCACACAGTTAAATTTTTAATTTAATCTTCATGCTTAAATGTCTAGCATGTGAAAGTATCTTTTTTCTTATCTTTTATAGAATATCTGTGTTATAAGATTTTTTCAGTTTAAGAATAGTTGTTGGATCTTCATATCATATATTATTTCTTGAATGTTTACTTATTATTCAATATAAAGCAAAGTTGACTTAAAAAAGAGATTTAGAATTTAATGCATAATAACCTGTTTTATCAGTAATAGTAGATCAACTGTGTTTAAACGTCAAATTAAATAGTGTGTTTGCTTGAATGTTTATCTGTTCTATCTGCTTCAAAATTGTTATAACTGAATTTCGATTTTATCCTTCTTATTTAGGCTGATTCTTGTCCCTTCAAGAATTTACTGCTGGAATTAACTCAGAGAGAAGGCTTTTGCAAACCAATGTATAAAACTATGCAGTCTGGTTCTCCTCATATTGCAACTTTCTTCTCTATTGTGGAAGTTGAGGGCAAGGAATTTCATGGAAAGGTTGCTAAATCCAAGAAACAGGCAGAACATAATGCAGCAAAGGTTGCATACATCGCTTTAAGAGAGTGTAAGTTGATTGTTTCTATTCAATAGAGTACATCTCTAATTTTGCTTTTAAGCATGTTGTAAAAGGATTGTATATAGTAGTTTAGTGAATAGGGATAAAGTCCCACATGTACATCTCTTTGATTTTCTCATTCCGTTAGTTACATAATAGAGCCTCCATTGTGTAGTAAACACACGGATTACATTAAATGCCTCTTAAGTCCTGAAATTTAACATGGCATCAGAGCCTAATAAGAGGAACCATAATCCGTGACCTTTTGGTGGACCCACTGTCCACAGAGTAAAAAAATTTTCCGAAAACTATCACGTCCATTAGTTTCCAGTCTCAGTCATTCTTCGATAGCAGCTGTCCAAGAGACTTTGACTGGCGACTTTTTTGACGTTCATGACAAACTTTCTAGAATTCAGTGATGACTTTTCAGGCATTCACTGATGACCTTTCCCAACGTTGATCAGCGACCTTCCAGCATTCACTGACAACCTTTCTGGCATTGACTGACGACTTTTCAAGCATTTACTGATGACTTTTTCAGCATTGACCAGCCAATTTCGGCGTTTGTCTGTCTGTCTAATGTGCCCAATGGCTAAATCTGGACCCTTTGCTCCTCCTGGGGTTGTTTTGACACATGTGGCTTCCAACACCACTGCTTCTGTTGAGCACACGAGTAATAATTTTACTAGTTTTCATTAGGTTCTTGATTCTGGTGCCTCTGACCACATTTCTAGTAATAAATCTTTGTTCTCCTCTATTTCTATCTCGAGTTACTTGCCTACTATCACTATGGCTAATGGTTCCCAAGTCTAGTCTCGTGGGATTGGAAAAGTTAGTATCTTTCCCTCCCATTCTATTGACAATGTACTTTATGTCGCTAGGTCACCTTTTAATCTCCTTTTTATTGTAAAGAAAAGATGGCTAAAACAATCTGATACAACTGGTTCAGATTAATGGTAAAATAAGGAAACAACAATGATTTTTGGTTCAGAAGAACTTCCTCTAGGATTTTCTTTATATTGATTACCGAAAGAAATACAAGCAAGGAACTAAGAAAGACTACACTCAGCTACAATGGAGTATTCTCCCTAACCTATAAATGAAAAATAACGAAAACAAGAAGACGAAAAGAAATGCTCAACACATTAGAGAGGTGTTGATGCTCTCCCAGTCCCAATGTCCCATTTCCATAATAATCCCTCTTCAGGCTAATATCTGGCCTAAATATGCCCCTTCAGCCACTGCCACGTCCTCATTCTTTCTTTTGTCACTACTAACAACCCCAACAACTTTTCCCTCCACATTTTCTAGACCCTTCTGTCTTACGTCAGCTTCCTTTCCAATTATTCCCCTATTCCTCTTCCTAGAATAAGTACGTAGGACCACCGTATCAATACTCCCCCCAAGACTTTCACCTTGTCCTCAAGGTGGAAAGAGGGAAATTGTTGGTGTAACCTAGCAGAATTTTCCCAAGAGTTTTCAAATGCTGGAAGATTCTGCCACTTAATTAAAACTTCTATGCGACCCATAGCATTCTTCCTCCAGTCAAGAACTGCTTCTGGTTCAACTTGTAACTCCCACACATCAGTTAATGTTGTCGGTAGGGGTTGTACCAGAACTGACAGGGAAACAACCTTCTTAATAGGGAGACGTGAAATACCGGATGAATTTTGCTGTCATCAGGTAACTCCAACTTATAGGATGCAGATCCAATGCGTGTTATCACCCTAAAAGGGCCATAAAAATGAGGACTGAGTTTTTCATTGATCCTTCACGCCAAAGACTTACGCCTATAAGGCTGCAGTTTTAAGTATACCATATCATTCACCTCAAACTCCACATCCCTTCTATGTTGATCTGGCGCCAAAAACTTGATGCTACCCGGCAAGTATACCGATCGCACAAGTAATAAAGTGGTAAATAATGTTCGTCTCCACAGGGATTGTGATTTTATATTAATTAATATTTCTTTAAATCAGAAATTGACCACCCTATGGCAGTCTTGTGTTCTTTCAACACCTCAACCAGTTTTGTCTCTTGTTCAGAAGACAATCCCTTGTTAATGATAACAGGGTAAGTCTCCTTCTCACCCAAGAAGATATACTTGAGAGTTTCTGGAAGCTCCTTCAACTCTACCTTTGGTGTACCATCTTCCTTGTCAGAATCTTTCGTTTCAAGGACTTCAAATAACTCATTTTTTCCTTCCTTGAAAGGAATCATTTCATGTACCTGAAGCTCTTCCTCAGATTGTTGAATGGAAAATACTTCTTCTTCCACTACTTGATCTAGAATATCAAGAAAAAAGCAATCGCCTTTATCAGAAGATTGTTTTATAGAGTCAAAAACATTGATGGTGATGGTCTCATCATTCATTCTTAACTCTAACCTGCCATTCACAACATCAATCATGGCTCGAGCAGTAACCAAGAAAGGTCTTCCCAATAATAGGGGCATTTCAGTAACCTCTTCCATATCTAATACCACAAAATCAGCTGGGAAGATGAACTTATCCACCTTAACAAGCACATCTTCAATAATACCACTTGGTCTCCTCAAAGATCTATCAGCGAGTTGTAAAGAAACCATAGTGGGTTTAACTCAGTAATTCCCAGAGATTTGCAAACAGATAATGGCATCAGATTAATACTTGCCCCAAGATCGCATAGTGCTCTGCCAACATCAGTGTTACCAATAGCAATTTGAATATTGAAGCTTCCCGGATCACTGAGTTTAGGTGGGAACTTCTTTTGTATAATTGCACTACACTCTTCAGTGAGTGTTACTGTTTGGCACTCCTGTAGCTTATGTTTCCTTGACAACAAGTCCTTCATGAATTTTGCATAATTTGGCATGCCAGCCAAGGCTTCAGCAAAAGGAATGTTTATATGCAACTTCTTGAAGATATCCAAGAATCTTGCATACTGCTGTTTCTGAGCGTCTTTTTTAAACCTTTCTGGGTAGGGTGCCATAGCTCTCACATATTCTGGCTTCAGCTCGAATTTCTTTTTCTCAGCAACAATTATTTGTGGCTCCTCTTCCTCACCTTTTTGAACAGATGTCTCAACAATAGAAAGAATAACCACTTCTTCCTCTACCTCCTTACCCTTTCCGGTATCTTCCGCATTTGTGGTTGGCTTTGTTGGAACTGCCACCACCTTGCCACTTCTTGTAGTTATAGCCACACAGTCATCCTTCGGATTAGTGACTGTATTGCTAGGAAAAGTGTCTGGAGTTCTTTCGGCCATCTGTTTAGCTATCTGGCCAATCTGGTTCTCCAAATTTCTGATAGAGGCTTGTGTGTTTCTAGTGTTTGCCCGAGTCTCTTCCATAAAAGCATTGGAATGTTGGGCCATTTGTCCCACTAGCTTCTCTAACTCATAAGGTTCCTTCGGTTGAACTGGCGGTGGCTGCAAATAGTTATTGGACTTGAAGTCAAGACCAGTACCTTGCACCCTCCTTTGGAAGTTATTGTTCCCAGAAGGAAAATTCTGAGTTCTTGGAACATTTTGTGGTGAAGGTCTCTGATCATACCACACACCATTTACATGTACCTGCTGAGGAGGATCATCGGCTAGCAGAGTAGGACATTCGTTGGATTCATGATCTTCCTTGCAATATTCACAGACAACTGCTGCAACTTGAGCTTGAACGCTAGAAAATTGCATCTTATCAAGCCTTGGTGTCAAGTTTGCTACCTGCTGAGATAACAAACTGTTTTCAGCCAGCATCACTTCATTGCCTTCCAGTTTAAGGATACCTCTTTTAGGCTTGGATGACATCGCTTGGTTTTCGTTGGCAGCCATCCTCTCAATCAACTCAAGAGTCTCATTTGCTCTTAGAGTTTTAATAGTGCCCCCTGCTGCACCATTTAGCACCATCCGAATCTTAGGTTTGCAACCATTGAAAAAGATTCTAACCTGACTACCAGTAGTCAAGTTATACTGAGGACACCTTCTCATCAAGTCCTTGAACCGGTTCCATGCTTCACACATTGATTCACCCTCTGATTGAGTGAAATTGGTGATATCATTCACCATCTGGTTATACTTCTCCATCGAGAAAAACTGAGCAAAGAACTTCTGTGATAAATCATCCCATGTTGAGATGCTTGCTGCAGGTTGCCTTTCCAACCAACTAAGAGCCTTTCCTTTAAGAGCAAAAGGAAATAGTCTCAGCCGGACTGCATCATTAGACACTTGAGGATGTTTTGTAGAATCACAGATCATTAGGAATCTGTTTATGAATCTATGAGGGTCTTCATCATCCTCTCCACCAAACTGAGCTCTCTCCACCAGTCAAATATTATCGGACTTGAGCTCCCAATGATTGTTGCCCACTTCAGGATGGACAATGCTCGCATTGGGTTTGTTGAATAATGGAGTCAGAATAGTGTCCATGAGTGGATTGTCAGCATCATTGTTGTGTGCCATTTTATCTTCTTCTAGCAGAATATCTAACTCGTTGAATGCAAGCTTCTTCCGAGCAAATTTTCTGTTTTTCTTCTCTGTTTTTGTGATCTCCAAATCAAGTGGAAACTCGGGCTCTTTACCTCGCATACAACTTAGAATGAGATTGTAAACAACAATGAAAAACGATTTGTAAATATGAGAAGAGTATTGTAGCTAGGAAACACTCACCATATGATCCCCGCTTATTACTTTGGATTGATTTAAAAACACTTATTTATATAAAAACTCAGATAAATATCATCTAAAATAATTAGTTAAATTCTAATCCCTTGGTAATTTAACCCTTTAACCTCAATTGGAATCCTAATCCCTTAGTAACCCCTCATGAGAATTAAGCAATGAATACGATAATTAAAACATCCGCAATTAACATACATCTATTCCTAGCATGCATACTAATCGTTATCTTACCCCCTTTCAAGATGAGAACCCCAATATTCCTATCTAGGGTTCTAACCCTCAGACTATTATCAACTATTAAAGTGATCAATTCTAATAAAGAAAATAGGAATTACGCACAGAGTAATGATAAAGAAATTTATATAAACGAGAGAAAATAAACCAATCCTTCGTAACAAGGGTTCATATAAGGTTTGTGACCCTAACTACAATAAAGAAAAACTTAGCCAACCAAATTCATGGCTAATAAATCAATATTCAATATTCAATGGGATGAAAGAATGAAAGATGAAAGAATGAAAGATGATCAAGAATTCTTCTCCGAAGCTCTTCTCCTTCAGCACGACGGTCTCCTTCGGTCTAGATACCTAATTCTGTGCTGAGCCTCCTTTTTATAATACTCTTTTAGGTCTTCCAAATTTACCCTTTTAGACAAAACATAATTGCAGTTTCGCACGCTGACGCTCTCAGCGTCAGATCCACGCTGTGGGCGTGGTTGCCTCTGGATTCCCACGCTGTCAGCTTGCTATCCACGCTGTGGGCGTGGGAAGAAGGATAATTTTTCACGCTATCAGCGTGGAATCCACGCTGTGGGCGTGGTAGCCTCTGGTTTTTCACGCTACCAGCGTGACATCCACGCTGTGAGCGTGGGTCTTTACTTTGGCAAATTCTCATTTTTCTCCAGATTTGTTTGCTTTTCCTACAAGTTAAGCATAAAATCAGTCGAACAATTCTGAAATTGGAATTTAAGCAAAGCAACGCTGAACATTGCCTTTTGACTGAGAATTAACCCATAATCTTTCTCTTTTTGGCTTGAATTTACCCATGTGCTGAAGGCACATCAATCTGCTTGCAGCTTCATCCTGTTTTGAGCCAATACCAATGCTGCTGTAAGTCATGGAGAATAGCATCCCTGTTCTGTAACAACCTGGACACTTCATCTATTGGAGAAATTGCGAAATACGAACGTAATAATATGGGTGGGTCACAGCCATAAAGTGCTTTAAAAGGTGTGGTACCTGTTGAATCCTCATAAGAAGTATTGTACCAGAATTCAGCCCAATGTAGCCATGAAGGCCAAGTCTTGGGCTTAGGACCACACAACCATCGCAAATAGGTTTCTAAACAACGATTGACCACCTCGGTTTGACCATTAGACTGAGGATGGTATGCAGTGCTAAACATGAATTTAGTCCCTGTACATTTAAATAATGTAGTCCAAAAAGAGCTGAGAAAGACCTTGTCTCTGTCACTCAGAATGGAAGTAGGGAATCCATGAAGCCTTACCACTTCCTTGATGAAAAGCAATGCTACCTCTCGGGCTGTATAAGGATGAGCCAAAGGAATAAAATGGGCAAACTTAGATAAACGATCCACTACCACAAAAATAGTGTCAACCCCTTGAGCTTTTGGTAACCCTTCAACAAAATCAATTGAAATGTCCACCCAAACATGAGTGGGTATTGGTAGAGGTTGTATAAGTCCTGCTGGAGACAGATTTTGGCATTTATTTTGCTGACATACAACACAAGCTGCCACAAATTGCTTAATTTGCCCTCTCATACCCTCCCAGTATACCAACGCTGCCACTCTTTTATAGGTACGTAAAAAACCTGAATGGCCTCCAATGCAAGAATTGTGAAATTCATCTACGATAACAGGGATGAATTTGGAATTCTTTGGTAAAACCAATCTTCCCTTAAAAAATAAATGGCCACCGCATAAAGAAAAACTTGGGTGAGCCTTAGGATCTGTTATTAAACCCAACATGATGTTACACAATTTCTCATCTGCTTGTAACTCATCGTTCAAATCCTCAAACCCAATTGGACAAGTTAGAGCTGGGAATTGTACCCGGCGGGACAACGCATCAGCAACCACGTTCTCCCTTCCAGGTTGATAAAGAATCTCAAAATCATAGCCCAATAGCTTGGTAACCCATTTTTGTTGTTCTTCACCTAGCACCCGTTGCTCCATTAAGAATTTCAGGCTCTTTTGGTTTGTTTTAATGACAAAATGACGTCCCAATAAATATGGTCTCCATTTCTGAAACAAAGATCATACCAGAGTGTTGGGATACTCAGATGCTAATTAGGTAGGTTGCCCCACTGATAGAAGATCCATTTCTATATATTGTGTCTTTGTTGGAGATAACTTGGTTTCCTAGAAAAGAAAGAAAAAGAGTATAGTTGGCAAATCAAGTGCTGAAGCAGGATATCGCTCCATGGCCACAACCACTTGTGAACTCATCTAGTTAAAACAACTACTTAAGGAACTCAAGTTTGGAGACACTGGCCTAGAATATCTCAATTACGATAATCAAGTTGCCTTGCATATTGCTTCCAATCCGGTGTTTCATGAAAGAACCAAGCACATTGAAATAGACTAACAATTTCTTAGAGAAAAGGTCCTCTCAGGAGATATAGTCACTAGTTTTGTTAACTCAAATGGTTAATTAGCTGATGTATTCACTAAGTCTATGAAAGGGCCTCGGATAAATCACATATGTAACAAGCTTGGTGTGATCTATATTCCTCAGCTTGAGGGAGAATGTTGTAAATAGGATTGCTTATAATAGTTTAGTGTATAGGGACAAAGTCTCACATCATGTACATCTCTTTGATTCTCTCATTTAGTTATTATATAATAGATCCTTTGTTGTGTATTTAACACACCGATTACACTAAATGTCTCTCAGGTCCTGATATTAAGCAATGCATAAAAATAACAACGCTGAGGTAAAATTATGATAATAACATGAACATTTTGTCTTTCTAGTAAGTCTACCTATAAGGCCATATAAATACTGCGAAAATCATCATTTTATGATCTAGTTGATTGACAGACTTAGTAGCCGATTCAGCTGATTTTTCAATTCCTCTATGTTAAAACGATGCAGATTCAGCTGAAGCGGCTTAGGATGAGAAAATAATTAATTAAAGGAAACTCATTGCTCCTTTGCCTATATGCTGTAGCATATAGCAGAATATGATTATGTTCTGATAAAATACTTTTGTCTCGCATAGGTGGATTTAATATTGATGCTGCTCCTTCGGCCTCTCTCATAGAGAACAATGCAGTACAATCAATTCAGAGTTCAGACATTATTAAATCCAAGCAGAACCTCAAACATGAAGGTCTGTTTCTTTCATCTTTAGGCAAAACCATATCTTATCAAGCAATTCCTTGAATGTGTAAGTTTTTAAAGTGGCAAAGTCCAGGACCCTAACCAGTAACCGTTGTCCATTGTATGGCATTCTGTTCAAACAGATGAACTTTCAGAAGTGGACTTAAACAAGATATTACCTGGTAACGTCAAAATCAGCAATGAGGTGTACAATCCATCTTTTCTACAGCCCTCTGAGGAAGACATGATGAGCAACAGGAGCACGTCGCCATTTTCACCAAAAATTTCATCTGCAGTTTCACAGCTTGACCTTTCTTGTAAGTCAAATTCAGGGTCCAACAAGGCAGAGATTCCCAAACCAAGTAGTTACCTGCTCTGTAACAGGTTCAAGGTGTATACATGCTTCCCAGACACTCCATTCCCTAAGGGAATCACAGTGCTACCTATTAGTGACAATAAGTGGGTTGCTGTGAGCCTGGAATTCCCAAATGATAAAGATCTTTGATTTTACTGAAAAGCTTCATGAATTTGTTTTAAGTGTCCAAAAAACTTGATTTTAACTGTATGTTACTCCTAAGGAAAACTCTTGATACTTATTTATAATGTAGATATTGCTAGTGTCTTTTGCTTATAAACGCCTATGGTCCTATGAAAAAGATATCGTGAAATTATAGTTTTAGTTTAGGAGACCTGAGAAGAGAAAATAAGGGAGAAAGATTGGAAATATGGGATATAATTAGAATTAGATCAGCATGGTCACTAAAGTCGAAAGTGATGATGCTGATACATTATATGGTTGGCACACTGCCATGAAAACATTATTCTAGCAATAAAAAAGAAAGTGTTATGGTGTTAAGTTGCGTTTGCCAGTGTACAAACTCAGTTTATATGGGCCCAGTTTTATCCCCAAGATTCTGAACAGACCAAAATTTTCTGAGCCAGAGTAGACCCAAACATGCTTGGCTTTGGGATGGGCCAGGTTTAGACAGGCATGTTTCAAATGAATGATTATAACTAATGACTGATTAATTGAATGATTTGCTCCAAGGTCTTCAAGGGGTTTAGATGACAAGGCAAAATGAAAATAGAAAATGCAGCGCCATGCTACAAAACACTTTATTTACGGAGTTTTTGGAACGGACAAGCTTCACCATGTGAGTCTTATTATTGGAGAGAGATTTACTTTGCATTTTCAATATTCAAAATTGTGACCTCGGATCACGTGATGAAAACTTCAACCATTTGTGGGAACGTGTCTCCCAAAATAAAATTACATCTATCACAATTCATTTTTGGGTTACTTACATAAAAAAAATGGGTTTTATTAATGTTATGTTACATAACTTAAGTTTTGTTTCCAACACACTCAACAAAAGGAGAGAGAAAGTGGAATGATGAAAGAGAAAGAAAAACACGTGGATCTCATCTCTTTAATGTGTGTGTAGGAAAGTGAAGTTGTGTCATGTTACATGATAAACATAAAACCCAAAAACATTTGTACTTAAGAGTTCTTTTAAAAGAAATGTGCACTTTCTATTGAAACAATTAACTTCACATGCAATATGTCTTCAACCAATCACCAACATAAGAGCACTTTTATCTTAAAATTGACCAATATACTTAACGGGGAAGCTTATATTTACAAACTTTTTGTTTACAAACATTTACAAACTACACTATATCTGACTGGTCATACTTTAATCAAGAGTGTATGACCGGTCATACATAGTGTAATTTGTAAAAAAAGTTTGTAAACAGATCCTTTCCCACACTTAATTGTTGTAATGTTATAGCATAAAAAAGTTAATTATTTTAATCGAAAATACATGCAGTGTTTTTTTTTAAGAAAAACATTTAACTACCGGTGGTTCTATGTATGCTTAAAGGGTATAGAAAAGTGACTAAATAGAAAGTTAGGATTTGACAAAAGAGTAATCCTATGGTCTTCAATTATAATTATCAAAATAACAAAATTCAACTCTTAAAATAAGGGTCTTTAGCACCCTTTTATAGACTAATTACAAATTGATCCAAAATTCAAAATATAAAATTCTAAAAATAATAAAACTTCCCAAAATAAATATAGCAATTATTAACCTCTAAAAATAAATAAATAATTACAATTAGATCATTCAAAATATGCCCGAAATCTTGGATCTCAAATCATGCCAAATGTGTTGCTTTCCTTTTCTTGTTAAACAAATCGCAATCATATCTGCTGCTTCAGTTGGACTTGGATATTATTGTAATTTATTATATTTCAAATTACTGCTTCTTTTAACAATTGAGCCATATTTATTGGGTCACAATTCTGGCTTTCTTGAATCAATGGTTGAGCCATGTGCAATGGACCAACTGTAAGTGCATCATTCTCCTCTGCTAGGAAAAGATTTGTCCTCAAATCTTGTTTATCTTCACTAATCTCCATCACTTTAGGTAGAAGCTAAAATACGAATTCTTCCTCGATTAAATTTCCATAATCTAATTTCCCATTAGATTTATCAGAAACTAAATAATCATCATAAATCGGAAAATCATCATAAATCGGATAATTGTCGTAAATTGGATAATTATCATAAATTGGATTATCATCATAGATCGAATAATCCTCATAAACTGGATTACGATCATAGACTTCAAAGTCAGGAATGTTGATTTGCATCTCGATATTTTGAAAAGTGGACTAATTTTCAGGTTGTACTTCCCAATTATGTACCTAGTTTAGAATCCCCAAGAGATTGACGTCCTCCTCTTCGTCATCAGATGCATTCTCTAATTCTATTCTTTCTTCGGATTGAATACCTAACTTTGTCCATTCAAGTAGCCGCTCCAAATGTGGGTTTTTATGCTCTGCGCCTCCACAAGAGCTCGTTTCAAAATTTGGATTTTCATGCATACCCACACGAGTCGTCAGTCCAAATCCTGAATTCTCTTTCTCTGCACCCGCATAAGTAGTCGCTCCAAAAATGGATTTTCTTGTCCAACGCTTGCTCAAGTTATTGCTTCAAATCCTGGATCCGCATTCCGAACTCGTCATTTTCTATGTCACGCGGGTCTATCTGACGCGGTTGTCTGTCTCCTTTATGAACGAATCCACGTCGCTTATCTTCACGACTCCACCATCGATGACCTCTACGATTCTGTTCAGCCATTGGTTGAAAGCAACCTAGTGTTCTGATATCAAATGATGCTGAAAGCGCATAGAAAAATGGTTAAACAGAAAGTTAAGATTTCACAAAAGAGTAACCCTATGGTTCTCAATTATAATTATAAAAATAAAAAAATTCAACTCCTAAAATAAAGGTCTTAAGCACCCTTTTATAGACTAATTACAAATTGATCCAAAATTCTAAATCTAAAATTCTAAAAATAATAAAACTTCCTAAAATAAATATAACAATAATTAACCTCTAAAAATAAATAAATAGTTACAATTAAATCATTCAAAATATGTCCCAAATCTTAGATCTCAAATCATGCCAAATGTGTTGTTTTCCTTTTCTAGTCAAACAAATTGCAATCATATTTGCTGCTTCATTTGGACTTGGATTTGATTGTAATTTGTTATATTTCAAATTATTGCTTCTTTTAACAATTAAGCCATATTTATTGGGCCACAATTTTGCTTGACTCTGGGCTTCTGGAATCAATGGTTGGGCCATATGCAATGGACCAACTGTAAGTGCATCGATTTTACCCTTAATTTTTCCTAACAATTTGAGTATGAATTAAAGAAAATCACAGTTAAAATCTCAATAAGTAAGAGATACAAATTAAATAATTAATCCAAATGGTTCATATAGATAACTTTTTTTTAGTGCTTTTTAGGACCTCTTTTTCTAGGAAAAAGAGCAGCCATATAGACCTTTGGAGGGTGTTTGGTAGAGGGTTTATTTTCAGATTTCCGAAAAAGTGAGGGTGGTAATCCAATTTATCCATGTTTGGCAGAAGAATTCTGAAAATTTTCCGGAAATGTGATTTTCCGGGATTTTGTTTGTGTATAAAATGTAAAACAAAATACCACCCAGAGGGTGATATTCTCACTTTCCCGAAAAAATGAAAAATTAGTTGCAAAGTTCTGGCAAAAATCCCGGTAATATTTTGGCATGTCAAATAACTTTTTGTTAACATTTTCGGAAAACTTACTTTTCCACCATATTCCGAGGAATTGTGATTCTTGGGTAAAAAAAAATTTCTCTTATACTTAACACCCCCTTGGTTTCATGCTTATCGTTCAATCGATACGAAAGTTGCATTCCATGTCACTTTAGTGTGCTCGTGGGAAAAACTTTTCTTTTAGTAGAATCAAACATTAGGGAATCAGCAACAACTTAAAACATTATAACAAATGATTTAGAATCGAAAGAAATAAAGAAGATTGTTTAAGGGAAATACTTCTCTCAAATTGTAGGAGACACTAATCTCCTGTCACACAGATATCGAAACATGTCAGAATCTTTTTTTTAACCCATGGGCCCCACATTTCTTGTTTTAGCCAGAGAAAAAACTTCTCTTACGTTAAATGAGAGAAGTATTCCGTATTATTTAAGGGGAATAATTTTCTAAAGCTACAGGAGACACTAATCTCTTGTCACATAGAAATCGAAACATGTGCCAGCATCTTTTTTTGTCTTTAAACCCATGTGCAATGGACTAACTGTAAGTGCATCATTCTCCTCTGCTAAGAAAAGATTCGTCCTCAAATCTTGTTTATCTTCACTAATCTCCATCACTTTAGGTAGAAGCTAAAATACAAATTCTTCCTCGATTAAATTTCCATAATCTAATTTCCCATTAGATTTATCAGAAACAAAATAATCATCGTAAATCAAAAAATCACCATAAATTGGATAGTTATCATAAATTGGATTATCATCATAGATCGAATAATCATCATAAACTGGATTAGGATCATAGACTTCAAAGTCAGGAATGTTGATTTGCATCTCGATATTTTGAAAAGTGGACTGATTTTCAGGTCGTACTTCCCAATTATGTACCTAGTTTAGAATCCCCAAGAGATTGATGTCCTCCTCTTCGTCATCAGATGCATTCTCTAATTCTATTCCTTCTTCGAATTGAATACCTAACTTTGTCCATGCAAGTCGCCACTCCAAATGTTGGTTTTTATGCTCTGCGCTTCCACAAGAGCTCGCTTCAAAATTTGGATTTTCATGCATACCCACACGAGTCGTCGCTCTAAATCTTGAATTCTCTTTCTCTGCACCCGCATAAGTAGTCGCTCCAAAACTTGGATTTTCTTGTCCAACGCTTGCTCAAGTTATTGCTTCAAATCCTGGATCCGTATTCCGAACTCGTCATTTTCTATGTCACGCGGGTCTATCTTACTCGGTCGTCTGTCTCCTTTAGGAACGAATCCACGTCGCTTATCTTCACGACTCCACCATCGATGACGTCTACGATTCTGTTCAGCCATTGATTGAAGGCAACCTAGTGTTCTGATACCAAATGATGCTGAAAGCGTATAGAAAAATGGTTAAACAG